TTAAAAGCTTAAGACGGAAGCAAAGTTGATTCCAAATGAGCTCCACCAAGTAGAGAACTTTAGGAATCTAAGAAAATAAAAAAACTGTGTGCTGTGGCAGGAGGAAATCACTTTGAGCACTTAAAGTATGAATTTGGGTGATATTTAAAAAACAATTGTTTTATTTCCATTATTGAATTTCAGAAAAGACTGTGGAGGAAGCAATGACTGCTTTTAACATATTTTTATTGACTCACCTCTTATTTTGTTACCACTATTGCTATCTCACTCTCTAACTCTGGGTCATTTAAGGTTTCTGACTTTTTAATTGCTAATCTCCATTTCCTCTCCCCTGCCTCTTCCCACTGTGACTCCCGTGGCCTCCCACGTCACCCTCGAGGGTACAGATTTGATCAAGGTGCTGGGCTGCGACGACTGGGCGCCTCTGTGGACTTCATGACCTTTGTGCAGGGATCTGACAGATTCCTCCTACTCCATTAGCAGTGTTTCCTCTTGGGAGGGTTTCACTCTGCGCTTCCACAAGCACCATCTTGCCATGGACTAGGTGGGATGGCGCAAGAACTGTGACAGGCAGCAGCAAGAAAATCAGGTCACAGATTCGAACCAAATGTAGGAGAAAGCTTGTGGTGCCTGGCGCCCGCTCTCAGAAGGATTTCTTAATAGGCTAGTGCCTGCTCCTTCTCTCTCAATTGCTTCTTTCTTCTGAGTTTTTTCATCATTTTAATAGTACCTCAGTACCAGACGGTTATTCTTTCTGTTAAGATTACCTTTTACTTAATTGATTAGTTCAATTATTTTGTATTAAAGATGCAACATTTAAAGAGTCAAGTAATTTGATGGTTTATTGTAACCATTTTCCCAAGCAGCAATCCTTTGTAATCTCTGTTCCTCCATTTTTCCTGCTTTTTAGAAGCAACCACTTTCACCTCTTTTGGCTGATTCCTTGATATTTACCTGCATGTCCTCTAATAAGACGCCATTGTTCAGGGTTGGTCTTCCCCCTGTGGCAGGTAAGCACTTAGCTGTCCTCCTCTTCTCCCCAACTTCCATCATACACAGGCCCCCTTCCTAAAATCCTGTCTTCTCAGTGTAATTAATACCATAATGCTGATTAGATCAGTATTCTTCATTTATGTTATTATTATTTTTGACATAGGGTTCTCCTCTGTCGCTTCTTGCAGGCTGGAGTGTAGTGGTGTGATCACAGCTCTACTGCAGCTTGACCTCCTGGGCCCGAGTGATCCTCCTACCTCAGCCTCCCAAGTACATGATCACAGGCAGGCACCACCAATGCACCTGGCTAATTGAAAACATTTTTTGTAGTGGTGGGATCCTCCTATGTTGCCCAGGCTGGTCTTAAACTACTGGTCTGGATGTATCCTTTACCTAGGCCTCCCAAAGTGCTAGGATTGCCAGGTGAGCCACCGTATCCAGCCTTCGTTATATCATTATATTTTTGTGTGTTGTTAAGAGCTACGCCTTGTAGCAAAACTGTGGCTTCATTATTATTTCTGTACATGTTAATTTTTTCTTGGATGAGTTACTAATTGTCTTACGTTTGTTTGTTTTTCTTTTCCCATTTGCTTGTCCTTTGATCTTGATTTTGCATTAGCGGCTTTCTAAGGTACCTGAAGCTTGCGTGCGAACATTCAGGAGCAGGGGACGAAATATGAATCGAAGCTGTGAATACATTTGGAGGGCTTGTCAGCCATCAGCTTCACCCATAGATTGGATTTCTTGCCAGTCCCCTCTTTCCAGTCTCTTTGCCTAGACAGGGAAAAAGCCTGGCTGCCAGCCTTCTGGAACAAAATAAGGGAGGACGGCTGGTGGCCTCAGCATCCTATGTGCATGTATTCATCTAATTCCATTCACATGCCTTCAACTGTGCCATTTCTCCTCCAACACCACAGCTGCCAGTTCAGAGGCTCTCCCTTTAGTCTTTCTAGAAAATAAACTTCTAGTTATTTGTTGGGGTAGTGTGTGGATGGGCAAATAGCCTAGGTGTGCAGGGTGGGGGAGAACATCTATGGATCTGCCACTTTAGATGTGCAGCCAGGCCTGCTTAGTTTAGCATTTCCCCTCTACCCTAGAGCCTTTTGAGCTTCTAAGGGTAAATGAGGTGGGTCTTATCTTTCCCCACTGCCAACTTAGGATTCAGGTCTGATTCAGTCTGCTGTGTCGTTTGTCACTCTTCCATCTGCATTCTAGCTTCCAATATTCTTGCAGCAATTGACTCCTCGCTTTATCTTGTGTCCTTGTTGGTTCGTGCCCTTAGAATAGAAATTCTTTTACTGTTCCTGAATGGAGTTTGAGGAGGAGTGCAAAGGTGGCTCTCGGCCTCATACATGTAAACTTCTCTTTTTACCTGAAAGCCTCACCATTTCTGCTTATTTACTGAACTGCCAAGGGTCTGAATTTTTAACAAGGAAATTTCTAATGGTTCTTGGTAACCCCCAAAATTTACTTCAGAGGAGGAATGACAGACCACAGTCTTTGATTAGAAAATGTGTTTTTTTAGGTTTTTTAATACCAGAGTCCTTCAAAAGGTTTAGGTTCTCACCCATAACTTTCTCCTTCTTCCATCTACATGTTTCTTTCTACCTGCTTCAACTCTCATTGTGTTTCCAGTAGAAAATGAAAGTTTTTATGGAGCCGTCATGGGAGGCATTGGGTTCCAGAGAATGGGTGGCAGTTGCAGACAGAAAATGGGAGAGGTGGAGTCCGTGAGGAATGCATCATGTCATATCCATGTCATTCTTTCATCAAGACATCTGTGACTGTCCCTACCTCCTTCTTACTGTCTTGGAATCGGCAGTGATTCTCGAGGCTGTGGTTGTTTTGCTTCATGGCTTCCAAACTTGAATCTCACCAAAATATTATTTATTTTTAACTAAGTCCTACCTTCCTGAGTTCAGAATTTGTTTTGAGATAGACAAAGGAACCATGCACATGGAGATCAAAATCTAATCTCTATTCTTGGTTTTTACTGGTAAAGCACTTTAAAAAATGTCATGTTAGGTCTGCCAGCCAGTAGGGGTATGTTAATATTTCCAGCCTGGGGAATTTGACATCCAATCACAGACCACATTGGACAACCATAGGCCAATTTGTCAGTGATTGGATGTCAAATGTTTAAACCCTCTAAAACTAAGGCAAGAAAAAGAATAATAGTTCTTTTCTATGAAGGAGTTTGTGAAGGAACTGAAAGAGATTTATGCTAACAGAAGTTCCTCACTATGGGAACATGAGGAGTGAGAAATGTATTCCATAATATAAAGGTGATATCTCATGCAGCAGCATATTTGATCAACTTTAAAATGCTTATCGTATGTTAGACTGAATAAAGAAAAAATTGTGTACATATACACCCATGGAATACTTGCGGTCATAAAGAATAGAGATAAATGCCCTTTATGGCAATATGATGGGTAGCTGAGGTCATTATCCTAAGTGGGAACTAACACAGGCATCAGGGAAAACCAAATACTGTAAGGTTCTTACTTATAGTGGGAGGTGAACACTAAGTACACGTGGATACAAAGAAGGGAACAACAGACACCAGGGCCTACTTGAGGGTGGAGGGTGGGAGGAGGGTGAGGACAGAAAAGCTACCTATCAGGCTGGGCACAGTAGCTCAAGCCTGTAATCCCAGCACTTCAGGAGGCCAAGGTGGAGGGGACTGTTTGAGCCCAGGAGTTCAAGACCAGCCTGAGCAACATAGTAAGAACCTGTCTCTCTAAAAAACAAAAACAAAAAAATTAAGCTGGGTGGGTGTAGGCATATACCTGTAGTCCCAGCTACTTGGGAGGGTGAGGTGGGAGAATCACTTGAGACATTGGATATTGGGTATACAAGAGGTTGAGCCTGCAGTGAACTGCAGATCATGCCACTGCATTCCATCCTGGGTAAATAGAGCGAGACCCTGTCTCAAAAAAAAAAGAAAAACTACCTGTTGAGCATCATGCTTATTACCTGGTGACAAAATAATCTATACACTAACCTACTCCCACTCCTGCCCTATGATGCAGTTTACCCAAGTTTGTTATACAAAGTTGCACCTGAACCTAAAATAAAAGTTAAAAAAAGATGATATCAATTCTTCTTAAGACACATGATTAATGTATAGCAGATGCTCAGAAAAAATACTATGTTAAATCAGGTTGTATGACACATTCAGATTCTCTGGTGTGAAACGTGAAAGTCATTTTTACATCTTAGAAATGAGGGGAGTATAGTGTTATAAGTTATCAGCCATTCATTCCTTTGATAAAAAGCTCTAAGGTTTGGAATTAAGTGGAGAGTACACCCTCAACTGGAATGGGGAGCCCTGTGCTCTAATCCCAGTCCTGTTACAAACTAGTTAGTTAGGGAGTCCTTGGTTCACAACCTCTACACCTGCTTTTCATCTGCTCAGCAAGGAGGGAAGACCAGCTAAATAGATAAAAGGGACTAAGGGAAAGACCTGAACTCCCACAGCCACCACTTCAGAGGGGTATGAAAACCCCAAGTAACTCCTCTTCCCTTTTAGTCTCAAGTATTATGTGTTTAGATTGGCCTGAATTGAATTTGGACAAGATAGTTACAGCACAAAGCAATCATTGCTTTGCTCACTCTTTCACTCATTCAACTGGTATCAATTGACATTTTTAAATGCTAAATACTGTGTTGGATGAATGAGACATATTCTGTTCTAGAAGCATACAGCCTACTGTGTGTACAGCTGGAGAGGGACCCCTGCACTGCTGCCCTCACGTTGGAAGGGCTTCAGACTGATCCGTGAAGAGACCAGACCTTCCTAGTTGCCTTGAAGCCGCTCGGTCCCTCCTGTGCCTTTCCTGAGACTCCGAAGTAGTGCCCTTTCTGCTGACGTGATCGACCGCCTGCCAAGAGCTGGCTCTCACCAGCTTATCGCAAAAGCTCTTCAAGTGCCGCAAGAGAGGAAATTACACAGCAGAGCCCAGAATCATATATTGGCCTCACACGGTTTCTCCTGTTTATAGGGTGCCTGCTGGTATTACGCAACCATGCTGATGCCAGCCTCCACCTTCACAATTGCAGTGGGATGCTGGACAGAAGTGAAGATGGAGACGTGCTCATCGGGTGATTTGGCAACAGAGACACCCTTCTCACCTTCTGAGGCTGATCTCAGGTTTCCAGTGGGGACTTGCTGGGAAGGAAAAAAAACACTTGAGGGAGTGGTATGATGCATTTCTTCCAAGCACTGGGAATGTGAGTCATTCCTGCTGAGAAACTGAACCAAAATAGGATTAATCAAAGCAGAAAAGCCCTGTTAGAAAGGAAAGAGAGGGTCGGGCGCGGTGACTCACGCCTGTAATCCCAGCACTTTGGGAGGCCGAGGTGGGTAGATCACGAGGTCAAGAGATTGAGACTATCCTGACCAACATGGTGAAACCCCATCTCTACTAAAAATACAAAAAAATTAGCCAGGTGTGGTGGCGGATGCCTATAGTCCCAGCAACATGGGAGGCTGAGGCAGGAGAATGGCTTGAACCCGGGAAGCAGAGGTTGCAGTGAACTGAGATTGTGCCACTGCACTCCAGCCCGGGCGGTGGCCAAACTGAGACTGTCTCAAAAAAAAAAAAAAAAGAAGAAGAAAGAGAGGCTGGGTGCGGTGGCTCAAGCCTATAATCCCCCACTTTGGGAGGTTGAGGTGGGTGGATCACGAGGTCAGGAGTTCAAGACCAGCCTGGCCAACATGGTGAAACCACATCTCTACTAAAAATACAGAAATTAGCCAGGCGTGGTGGCACCTGTCTGTAATCCCAGCTATTCGGGAGGCTGAGGCAGGAGAATTGCTTGAACCTGGGAGGCAGAGGTTGCAGTGAGCCGAGATTGTGCCATTGCACTCTAGCCTGAGACAGAGCGGCAGACTCCGTCTTGAAAAGAAAGGAAAAGAGTTGAGAAGAAGAGATGTGAGCCTATTATTTATGCAGAAAGAGAGAAGAAGGTAAGTATATATGAAATCCCGTGGAAGTGTGCTGAAATATTTATATGTGTTTGGCTAAATTCAAGGAATCCTCAGATTCAATGCCTCCTCTCCTCCCATGCCTTTAAGTTTGGTTTTCGTGCTTATGGTCAAAACAAAGCTGCTGATGGATTACTTCTATGCTACTCTGCTGTGTTATTGTACCGACTGCTGTCGCTGTGCACTGTGGGACAGCAGCTCCCTCAGTGGGGCTAGTCGCTGCTTTAGGAGCACAGGACACAAGGAAACTGACGCAAAGCCCTTGGGTTAAGGGAATCCTGCTTGGTCAGGGCTTTGTTAACATCAGTAGTGATTTCTTTTTTTTTAAGTATGAACCAGATAAAATCATTTTGAGGCTTTAAAAAATTAGTATAGGCCATTGGATATTTACTGGCAGCCTGTCTAGATGTTCAATGGTTTCTAGCTTTGAGAGCCAAAAGAGGGAGAAGGGGGACGCCGAGAAGATGCACAGCACATGCATCATGCATCGCTCCTAGATTTTATACCCAGCTCAACGGAGTCATTTTTCCATTGATAGACAGTCAAAGTAAGTCAGTACCTTCTGGTGGAGAAAGCCCAGAGTAATGGTAGGGATGATTCATTACTCTAAAACCCAGCTAAGATACACTTCTAATGCAGATTCTTTTGTGTTGGTTTTATTTTGCCTTGTTGTTTTTACGAGTACCACAGTAACTGCGGCAGTTGGTCTTCATCTTTCAGAGATGACGCTATGTTCTCTCTCTTCCTGTGGGCACGTATTATTGCTGCATTTTGCCTTTCAGAGATGAAGCTATGTCTTCTTCCCGGTGGGCACGATATTGCTGCGCTTTGCCTTCAGAGATGAAGCTATGTTCTGGTCTGTCTCTCCGGTGGGCACGTATTATTGCTGCTTATTTTCTCAGAGATGAAGCTATGTTCTTGTCTGTCTTCCGGTGGGCATGTATTATTGCCGCGCTTTGCCTTCAGAGATGACGCTATGCCTTCTCTCTTCCGGTGGGCACGTGACATTGCTGCGTTTGCTCCTGCTTGGCGGAAGGGAGGTCATTTCCACCTCCTGTTCAGTAGCTTGCCTAGTTTGACTGTCTTCTCCTGAGCTATATGAATATCCTAGATTGCATATTAGATTTTACTTGTATCCTTGAGGGAAGAAGGGAATCTGTGGGCAGAAGGACATATGCTAGCTCTTACGTGGGAACTCTTAATTATAGGAGATCCTCCGTGCTCTCTTCCCGCAGGGATCCCACAGGAGGCTTTGTTCTGTAATTTCAGGTGGCCTGAATTTCTGGGTGAGGATGACAGGTGCTCTGGAGAGTCGCTTAGATCTGCGGTGGACTTGGTATTAGCAAGAAGCACAGTTTTGTGTTAAGCCACTGAAACACCAGGGTTGTTTGTTACTGCAGCATATCCTAGGGCTATCCTGAACTGATACAGCAGTCAATGGTTGTTCCAAGTCAGAAACTAAGTCTTGATCTAAATGTAATCTCCTTTAGTCCTAAGGATAGGCCTGCAAGACAGATTGGATAGATTATTATTCCCATTTTATAGATAAGGCTGTTGAAGCTCAGATAGTAACTTGTTAACATTAATATACCTACTAAGTAGTAATACCTGATTTATATCCAGGCCTGACCCCAGAGAGAGGTGAGTCAGAATCTTACCTGGAGACTTTAAAAAACTATATGTAACATTGACGCCTCACATGGAGTCTGATCCACCTTCCCATCTGGAGAGTCACTGCCATGATTTGAGCCACCATGATTGACGGGAGTGTGTTGTGTTGGAACAGAAAACAGAAGTTGGGAGCAATGTGCCTTGAGCCTGAAAGTGCCATTCTTGGTGGTTGGATGTAGCTCTTTGGACAAAGCCACTTTCCTTTGTCTATAGATGAAGGCTTTGTCCGTGGCTCCTCAGATTTCTCGACATGGTGACGGGCATTTTCTCATTTTCATCTAAGGCCTCAGCATTGATTGATTCTTGTGAGGAGCTGCTCAGTTGAAATGTGTGCCTTTGGAAGTCTAGGGAAGGCAAGGATTTACATTTGGCTTTCCTTTCTAGCCGTATTCCAAAGAGATGTGGGTTGGGGAGGCAGCAGCCCCCGACTCTGTGCTCTCTCCTTCCTGCTCAGAAGCAGCTTAAATGGCTTCTCAGTTTTCTTGCATCCATCATTCTGGAAAGGAGGAAGAAATGGTTAGATCAAATGTAAGATTCTGGGATGTCTAAGATTCCTGCCGGGCTTTAGGGGGAAGAAGCAGGTACAACTCCGCTCTTGCCTCCTGAATTCACCAGTTGAGGAACGGACAGAGGAGATAAAAATAAAGGTTTGTTATTGACAGTTGACTGAAGGGAATGCTCAGGTGCATGGTCTCAGTGGGGTTTCTGAGACTCCATTTCCAAATGAGACAAATTTATTCCCCCTGGTTACCAGCCCAGCTGGGATCAGCCGCTGGCTCTGTAACACAGACAGGTCCACCCGACATGTGGTGAGCAGGTCCAAGCACCCGCTGTGGGTGGTGCAGGTTCGAAAGAGAAAGTCCGTGGTGGCCCAGCCAGTCAGGTAAGCTGGGAGAGAGGCCCGGTGCCACCCTAGGAAGCGTGATCTTTCCGTGAACTGTGAGGCCTGGTGAATGGGGTTCCTCCCATGCCCTTCCGTGTCTCATAAACCGTGAGTTTTCCTTCCTTTATCAAGATGCTCATTCTTCAGGAATATGCTGCTGATAAAATCACAGCTTGCGTTTGTTTAGTCCCGCCCTGGACAGCGCTTCTTGTGTGCCGTCTTCAGTTGCCGCAGTGGCTTTGTTTTCATCCATTACGCTGTTGACTCATGCAAAGTTTGTCAGCAAAGGTGTTTCGAAGTGCCAGTCACAGTGGTGTTTTTTGGTTATGCTCAGCATCTGGTCCTTTTGCCTTCTCAGCACCGCTCTACTTCAAACCCTTCCCAAGACCACCAGTCAAATTCATGTAAATCCAACTTCCACAGGGGCCTGCTATACCACAGGTTTTCATCTGCCTCAAGTGCTCATCTGGGTTCCAGAAATTTGACCAAAGTGTTGGTCACTGAACTTTTATGATCGATGTTCATGTGGGTAAAATTATAGTAAGAACGTTCCCTCTTCCAGCTCCACTTTCACACGTGCTCCAGCCACTCTGGGTGAGCATTTTAGTAAATACATTGATTATAAGGCTTTCGGATAAGCTGTTGAAAGTTTATTAATTTTATTCAGCTGTAGTAGAACCTTCTTCAGCCACAGGGGACTCTTTGTGTTTTGTTTCTTTAACCTCTTGAGGTCTTCGTGGGGCTAAGCACAGTTTAAACATGACACAGAAACTTGATAAAGTCCAAAGGAACTTAGCAAAATGATTAAAGGTATGGAAAATGGGCAATTAAGCAAAGAAGAAAACGCATTGAGACTGATTATTTGGAAAGAAGAATCTGGTGGGGGAACAGGTCTTCTTTAGCGCTAAAGTAAATGAAAGTTGCTTGATAGAAGCACGGCATATTTGAGTCGGTGCTGAATCTATGGAAGACTATCGCTTTGTAAAAGCACAGAATCGGCGCTGTGGAGCCTGCTTGTAATCCCAGCATTCGTGGGAGGTCGAGGCGGGCGGATCACTTGAGGTCAGAGATCAAGAAGATTCCGGCCAACATGGTGAAACCCCGCTCTGTTTTCAAAAATACAAAAATTAGTTGGGCGTGGTGGCGGCAGCCTGTAGTCCCAGCTTACGGAAGGTGAGGCAGGAGAACGGCGCGTGGAACCTGGGAGCTGCACTCACTGGCAAGCCCAGCCTGGCTATTAGTATCGAGACTCCTGCTCAAAAAAAAAAAAGTACAACCCCCTGACCTCTTCAGAAACAAGGCGATTCTATGAACAATGGCTCGTGTGCTCAGTTATCACAGAATCATAGTGCCAAAAGAAACCTTAGAAAACATTTCTGTTTAACTTTAAGTATAATTAATACATACAACAAATGTGCAGACTGATGTGACTCGCTAATTGGACAACCCATGTTGCACACAGTTTTTAAACCCGACAGAGCGCACTCTTGTTTCCTGCAGTAAGTTAGTAAATTCTCTCTACACCCCCATTTTTTTTTCTTTTTTTTTTTTGAGACAGAGTGATGCTCTGTCACCTGTGGCTGGAGTGCAGTGGTGCGATCTTCGCTCACTGCATCTCTGCCTCTCAGGTTCAAGTGATTCTCCTGGCCTCAGTCTCCCAAGTAGCTGGGATTAGTGCATGCGCCACCACTTGGCTAATTTTTTTGTACTTTTAGTAGAGATGGGGTTTTACCATGTTGGCCAGGCTGGTCTCAAACTCCTGACCTCAAGTGATCTACCTGCCTCAGCCTCCGAAAGTGCTGGGATTACAGGCATGAGCCACAGTGTCTGGCCTCTCCTATCCTTTTCTAACTATTTCCTTACTCCTCCAGCAGCCACTTTGGTGAGACTATGTTAAAGATGGGAAAAGAAGCCCCAGATACTGAGTTGCCTGCCTTGGTTTCCAAGTGAGCCGGTCTGAGAAGACCGTGAAGCCCAGGTTTCCTGATCGCTATGTGGGAGCGCAGAGTGGCTTTCCTGTTGCCCCTTCCATTTCCGTTTCTGTGGGAGCCTTACTGTTCTCACCTGGTCGGAGCTCGAGCGCCTTAAAGTCCTGCATCTGTTCCCAGGCTCTGATTATAACAGTACTAAGTCACACAGCCGGAGTCATCTTCTATCTCTGAACTAGTGCCTTGTATTCCCAGAGAGACTCTTAACACCTTGTTCCTGACTGAAAAAAGAATATGAGAGAACTTACCATGGAGACGGAATGTTGTCTCTCAGGTTTGGGTCGTGTACGATCATCAGAAATTCATCAAGCCAAACACTTTTGGCATATTCTGGCTACCTCAGTATTCTCTAACTTCGGTTCTTGGCAGCAGGAAATCATCTTTCCCTGTGTTGTGTTTAGAGGCCATTAGAATGACCTTTTGCAAACTGTGTTGTGGTAGATGTAATGTGAGCTTATTTCTCAGTTTTGTCCAGAAGATGCCTGCACATGTCTGGTTTAACATGATCTGAAAGCTTTGCAATAGAGATGGTATGAACTGAAATGACGGTGGCACATTATATACCTGTGTAAATACATGAGAAAAAGATATCGCAGTGGTTAATTTAATCAATGGCATTTTTAATTACTTGTCATTAGGTGGGCATTGCAGCCTTTTTAGGTAAATGTTCACCAGCAGGCACCTTGACTCACTTTCCACAAAGCAAGGTTATCAATCCAGGGACTTTGCCAAATTCAATGTCAAGAATTATATTCTTCATGTCGCCTTATTCTTGACACGTTTTTATGGACCTCCATCCATTTTCTTTACTCTCCGCTGTGAAATGCCTCGTGCTGGAAGAAGCTGTGTTCCATGAACCGTGCTGGTAGAAGGTGAGGCTTACCTAAAATTTTAGCCATATGGTCTCCTGAGCGCTGGCCTTGGGTAAGTGAAAGGTACTTCATACATTTGGAGAGAGAATTGCTGTATCTTGCCCATATTGGGACATGCCAGCATCTTAAGATTTTTCTATTATACTGTGAATCAAGTGAGCACCTGTAGTTAGAATCTGACTGGAGTGCAGTGGCCTGCCTGTGATTCCAGCAACTTTGGGAGGATGAGGCAGGAGGATCGCTTGGGCCAGAAGTTTGAGACCTCTCTGGCTTGCTAAAAAGTGAGACCCCCATCTCCAGACCCCATCTCTTAAAAAAAAAAAAAAAGAACCGTGATGTGGTATGGCAACGTGGGTGTAGTCCTAGCTACTCAGGAGGCTGAGGTAGGAGGATTGTTTGAGCCCAGGAGTTGGAGGAGGCTACAGTGAGCTACAGACCCTGCCACTGCAGTCCAGCCTGGGCAACAGAGTGAAACCTCATGTTAAATAATAATAATAATGATAGGCCGGCGCGGTGACTCATGCCTGTAATCCCAGCTCTTTGGGAGGCTGAGGCGGGTGGATTAACTGAGGTCAGGAGTTTGAGACCAGCCTGGCCAACATGGAAAAACCCTGTCTCTACTAAAAATACAAAATTAGCCAGGCATGGTGGCGGGCCCCTGTAATCCCAGCTACTCGGGAGGCTGAGTCAAGAGAATCACTTGAACCCGGGAGGTGGAAGTTGCAGTGAGCTGAGATCACACCACTGCCTCCCAGCCTGGGAAACAGAGCTTGACTCCATCTAAAAAAAAAAATAATAAAATAAAATAAATAATAATGATTCCAGGGGATTTTCATTGTGTTTGAATAAAAGATATGTTAGCAGGTGAAAAATGGAGTACTGTTGATATAGGTTTGAGAGATAAGTTCTCTTGCAGCCTGTGAGTCAGGTTCTGTGGAATTCTCTTCAGTTCCGCCTTTGATGGAATAACTGGCAGTGGTCAGATGAAGCAGGCGGGGGTCTGATCTGCTTCCTTAAAAGGCTCAGCAATTTGTACTGGAAAGTGGGTTGGGAAAAATACTGTATCAAAAGTGCCTCTGTATTCCTTAATAACAGCTTTTGATGGGCTGTGAAAAGAACATCCAGATTTCTATTCAGTAAAATGGTTTGTGTTCTTTTGAGGAGTCTGAGCCTGTAACTTTTGTTGGGTTCATGGTTCTGCCTCAGTCCAAGTCTTTTCTTCTAGGTAATCCCAGAATTGATCTTTAACTGTGTGTACTGCTCCTTCCTTTCTAAGTTAGGAATGGTCTCTAATTTGGAGATTGTTCATATGGTGATACTTGAAACACTCTAATCGAGGGCAGGAATTGTTTGTATTTTGGTGAGAAGTTTTACTGTTTTGAGTCTTAGAGGTCCCCCCACAACAAAGTTAATTCTAAAACAAGATTTTAGTGCTTTCACTTACCTTAGATTGAAGCTAGTCTGTTGATTCAAACACACGAATAAGTTTTTATCCTGTAAATTTTCACTGCTGCATGAGCCAGTCAAGCCAAGAATTGAAATGAACAGTCTTTGCTTGTGAGTCTGTCTGAACTCTGTCTCCTAAAAAGTTGTCTACATCTGCAAGATTGCCTCACCTCCACAGCAAGAATAATAAACATGGTTTACCATTTATTTTGTGTTGTTCCCAGGCATGTTGGTGTTTGCAGTCACATGGAATACCCCTGCCGCTTCCAGAATGCTTCTGCCACCACTCCAGCAGATCATTCTCATCGTGCCTTTGCTCCTGTGTGCTTCAAGGGTGCCTGCCAAGAGACCCTTCTGCAGCTGATCCCTCCTTGCCTCTCAGCAGCACATTCTATTCTGGGAACACACCCGTTCTCTCGGCTGGATGTTCTCATCGTCCCTGCCAACTTTCCGAGTCTGGGGATGGCCAGGTATGTCGCTCCGCTGTGGCACTTGGGGTACGTACATTTGGAAATTCTTGACTATGTCTTGCTTCTGAGCTCTGTCAGAGCTGTCGTTTGATTAGAATGGAAGGGCTGTGGTTGCTCATGCTTGGACATCTCATTGCTGCCTTGAGGAACAATTTTAATGCAGATCATGCATGAGCCTTTGAGTGTCGTGGGCTCAGTTCAGACTGTGTTGAAAAGAAAAGGTGCCTGGGCATTGTTGCTGGGATGAGAATGCAGAGTGCCCCTGAGTGGTGAGTGTTGGGTCATGGCTGGTCAGTGGCTGTTAGCTTGGATGATGACAGCGTAGTGCTAATGAGCCCAAGGTTATAGACCGGGCTCTGGGCACAGTAACATGACTTGGTCCTGCCACAGGCTGCTCAGCTAATTCTGACCAGCTGTCTCGTCCATTCTCGGGCCACTGGGCACAAGGGCACCGACTTGAGAGCCCTGTGTCATTACTAGACTGTGGATGGATCAGTGTAAATCCATCCCTATTGCCAGAAAAACAGCTCAAAGCAGATGACTTTACTGTGGGGCAGAGAAGGAGTCATGCTACTGTTTTTTAACATAATAAATGCATCTTTGCTATTGTGTCTGGTTTGGCTCCTGTATTTATGTAAGCTAAACTCTGTTCATTAATGCCATTGTTCAGTCATTAATGGGTGTCTGTGTTCCAGTGAGAAAAGATAGAGAATGTGCTTGGTTATATTTCCATTTGAAAATCTTAATCATTAACAGTGAATATGCTTGACTGAGGATGGGAAAAATAAGCTCATCAAAACATGTGACTTTAAGTTTTTCCCTATTAGTCAAGGAAATTCTGCTGCCAATTAATTCCCATGCTTTTGAGCAGTTGTCATTTGTGGTGTTTTTCTGAAAACTGCACACATTCTTAGTAAAATCAAGGAGCAGAAAAGAACTGACTACATTTGCTTTGATTCTTACTACACATATGTACTTTCAAAAGACTGGCTGGCCTGCCTGAATCCTGAGGGAGGTCTGAGGAAAGTTTATTTAGACTGATTTTTATCCTATATTTATGAAGATAATGGGAATGCAGAAACTAGGATAATTGTATATATCTGGTTATGTGCCTCATGTAATTGTCTTGGATATCTATACATAGAATTTGTCTTAACGGCGGTGGGGGGCTTCTTTTGTCCCTTTGAAGAGTCTGCTGGACTTAATTTAAGTAGTAGAAGTGTTGGTGAAGAAAGAGTTGTTCATTACATGTTTCTTATTTGTACACAGGTTTGAGGGGCCCTATTTACTTGGGAGTTTTTAGCGCTTTATGAGAACTGTAGTTTTTTAAGGCATGCTTGCTAGCAGTTCCAAGTTCTTGGCCTGAGGGAACCAAAGGCAGAGTATTTTTCGTACAGGATTCTGTTTTCTACAGCTCCTTCCTGACACCAGCCTGCCAAAGCCAGAATGAGTTGACCTGCAGGCCATTCTGTAGAGCTTCTCTTTTCAAGTTTGCATGCCCAAGCAGGTAGGCTGTGTGTTTGCTGCTTTTTGCAGTATTTAAAGTGATTTAAACATGCTTAACTCTGTATTTTTAAAGTAGTAAGCCTAAGTACCGTGAAGGCCAAATGGTCCTGGGCACAAATGTTGAAAATATGATGGTGACGGTGACCGAAAGAGCAACAAGACGCTTATGCTTAAAAGCAGGAGAACCGCACATTCAGAATCTCCAGGTGGGTTGTCAAACATCATTTTTCCTTCCTTTAGACTGTGGGAGGAAGTCTGCCCAGGGCTGGATGTTTTTCTGACTTGTTACTGTTCCTGACGAGAGCTGTGGAAGGAGGACTGTGGTATCTTCCACTGCCAGTCGGGGTGGGGAAGGGGAGCGCTCTGTTTTGCCAAACTCCTGACTTCAGCTGATTCCACTTTTTGCTTGACTTGACTCTGTCGGAGTCTCATCACCTTTGGGCTACATGCGGCTGAGTGGGGTGTATGACTCAGCTGGCTACTGGGGCCCTGCGGCTTTATTTATGGTCGAGGCTTTGCTTGAGGTTTTATAAAGTGAAGCTAAACAAAAACGAGATGGTTTTGTAAGTCAGCTTCTGTACCTAAACAGGAATAGAGAAACTTCAAGGCTAGAGGAAAGTCGTCCAAAAAGATTCTCCACACTGAAACTTGCCATTGTCCTCGTAGATATAATACGCCAAGAGATCAAAGGTTTTTGGTAAATTAAATGGCTCCCTTCCCCGAGTCCATATTTTATAAACATGTAGGCAAGATGATAACCCCATACCTCTGACTTCTTTAGTGATCGGGTCTTAACTCTAGTGAACGGCTGGTTTTATGCCATTCCTGTGTATTTTCTTTTTTGGCAAATGATGTTAAACGTTCCCTCCTGAACTAAAATGGGAACATTGTTATTGATCATGTCAAGGAGTTTCTGAGCATTTTGGATGATATTCATGATGATTTCACTATTTTAAATATTGCATATCATGGTTTTCATGAATAAGCTGAAAGATTCTCTTGGTTCTGGTATTTCAGTGAAGTGGGGAAGAAACACATTTATAAAACTTGAATGTATGATGATGACAAATCAGTTTATAAGAAGGCAAATAATACACAAGTAATATTTTAGAATTTTGAATGCTTTTCAAACATGGTGGCAGAACTAGAACATTTATCAGTACTGCCTTCATGATTTTGTCACCTTTAATATAACAGGAGCTACTACTAACTGACTCTCCTGCCCCAGTCCTTCCTCGCATCACTGTCCAGGGGAGAGGGGCGTTCATTCTCTGCTGAGAAAAATCGCTGGTTTGCCTTCTCTGTAGATGCTCTGCTCAGCGGGTGTGTGTGGCCTTCAGTTTTGTTCCATTGCGTTTTTGCCTTCCATGAAGACGGAATCTGCCATGTCAGGAACCGTGAAGGTACATTCCTGACTTGACTACTGTGATGTTCATGAAGATATGCATGTGTTTAAAATGCATCTCTGAAGCACACACAGCTCTCTTCCTGTTGGTTTAATTAATATTCTACCATTTTCATTGTCCTCATGTGTTCTCAGAGTCTCTGCTGGGGATTGACTGGCAAGTGTAATATCTTAACTTTGAGAAACACATGAAAGGAGCTCATCATCACACTTACACTCTGTTATAACAGCAGTAACGCACGGAATCATATTCTAGAACCAGGCTTATGGCAGTTGCTTAAAATGAACAGCTTAATCTTACCTGTATGTGTGTGTAATAAATGCTTTGCTTCACATTTGTCGTTCAGCAGTTCACAATTACATGTCATGGCATAATTAGGTTGGCAGAATCACTTCCTGCTGACGCCCAAATATGTTCTTTTTTTTTTCCTTGTATTTGGATTTCAAGAATCTCTTTGGTAACTTATTTCAGAGTGGTTTTCCGTGAAGAACACTGAAGTTAAAAGCCATGTGTTCTGTAGTTCTGCTTCATGGCCTGGGGCTGTTCACATGCATCTTCACCCTTCATCCCACTGGGAAAAGTGAGGGGAAAAAAATGACTATCAGGTGGCTGATGACAGGTGGACAGATTCCCTTTGACCTTTTCCCCACTCTCAAGCCTGTTCTCTTGTTCCACCAGATAGTCTTGATCATTTGGTTCTTGCTTATTTATTCACAATAAATATTTATCAAGTGTATACTGTGTGCCAGATAGTACTTTACGATGCAGAGTTTACAAGGGTGAACGAGATTGAGGAGGTCTCTGTCCTCCATGAAATGGACATTCTAGTCGAGAAAACAGTGTGCCTGAAACAAGTAATTAAGACGTATGCTATGAAGAAAAATAAAATCAAGTAAGTGTCACACAGTGGGAGAATCAATAAAGTATCAAGTAGGGGTGGGAGAGGGAAAGCTTCTCAAAGAGTGACATGGTGGCCGGGCGCGGTGGCTCAAGCTGTAATCCCAGCACTTTGGGAGGCCGAGACGGGAGCGGATCAATGCAGGGTCAGGAGATCGAGACCATCCTGGCGCAACCCGGGTGAAACCCCGTCTCTACTAAAAAATACAAAAAACTAGCTGGCGAGGTGGCGGGCGCCTGTAGTCCCAGCTACTCGGGAGGCTGAGGCAGGAGAATGGCGTGAACCGGGAGGCGGAGCTTGCAGTGAGCTGAGATCCAGCCACTGCACTCCAGCCTGGGCGACAGAGCGAAACTCCGCCTCAAAAAAAAAAAAAAAAAAAGAGCATATGCAAGGCCAAGACTGGAAGAATATAAAGGATCAGCTTTGTGACCATCTGTGGAAAAGCACTCTCAGTCCACGGGCCTCAAGGTGGGAACCACCTCGGTGGGCTGGGAGCATAGGAACCTGCCTTCAGATTCCTCCCTCGCTGGGGTCGCCGCAAGAGACCACCGACACGGAAGTCGCTAGCCAGAGAGACGACAGAAGGCTTAGGGTCCTATGTCCAAAGTTGGCCACAGGACCTCGAATGCTTGTTACAGACAGTTTATAAAGGCAAAAACTACAAAAATTCACAAAGCTTGAGGTGCAAGATGATTGAGCAGGTTGTGGCCTGAGCAAGATGTCTTACTCAATTGGTTGGTTTGAACCTGGGCTTGAACCCTGCACGGGCATTTCCCCAGACTTGTTCTCTGTTTGAGTTCCAGGAATATGGGTGTGTTTTAGATAGCCACACGGATATCAGGCGGGTGCTTCTAGATGGCCACCTGGTCGCTGGGTGGTGTTTTGAGATAGCCACCTGGTGTGGCTTTTCTGCTTCAAGTTTCTAAGTCTCTAAGTCTCTGAGCTTCTAAGTCTATGGGGTTTCTAAGTCTCTAAGTTTCTAAGTCTAAAAGTTTCTAAGTCTAAAAGTCTAAAGGTTTCTAAGTTTCTAAAGGCTTCTAAGTTTCTAATCTATTTTCAGGAGGAGAGAGGAAGGCCAGGATGGTGGCAGTGGTCAGTGAGGTCTTAGAACGGCGCTTTCCCTTAGCCCCGTCCTTAGTCAACTTGCAGGTGCCCGAGCAAGTGAGAGCTACCAAGAAATGGCAAGATTGAGTCAGGTCCATCATTCTAGGCAGACAGGGGTTATGGGAAGAGACCAAATCTTTTTTTTTTTTTCTTGGGACCGCAGATACCCATACCATCTCCCGACTGGCTGGTGAGAACCCGGTTGGCGTAGCAGCTGCCTTCTTGGGCGGAACGCCCCACGGCCAAAGCTGTCAGGACACCTGGCGTCCAGACTGGCAACTGTCCCTTTGTAGAGAAGGGAGGAGTCCTGGATACCACGTTTTCTTCGCCTGGCAGCTGCTGATTGATTCTCCGCAAGCTTTGACATCATTGTCACAGAGAGGGAAGCTGTGGCTGTATATTTGCTCATCCTAGTTTTAAAGGTTTTTTGAATGAAAATAGGATTGACAATTAAAGACCATAGAGAAAATTATCAATTATTAAAATCTTCACAATATGCTTCACTCTAAGGAAAAACTATAAAGCTCCCTCTTACACAGGCTTATTCTTAAAAGATTTGATTGTGCAATAAAAGACTTCTGAATGCTTCTGCTAGTTCCTGACTATTGCATGCACAATTTTCTTAAGTACCTCAATTTGCAAATAAACGGTATGCAGGTACATGCCCAAGAATGAATGTGACCAGCTTTTTCCTCCACTCCCGCCTCCCGGGTTAGACAGGGTGTTGTCCTGTTTATTTTTATCTCCCCGCCAATGTGTAATAGAATAAGCAAAACACAACGTGCTGGTACAAAGGGCCTGTTGTCTTCAGCTCTCTAATTGTGCTCCTTTCTGCTGGGAAGGAAGCCGTCGTCAATTTCTGTCATCATCTTAAGTAGCAAGGCTGCACAGCTTTGAGGATTTTTCTTTGCTTGTTCTTTATTGGCTTTACTTGAATTTTTGATCCTTCAAACCGAAACCACCATACTTTTAAACCATCCTTCTTTAGATTTCAGGGGATGTGACCCCCTGATTTCAAGGCAAGATGCAGCCATAGTGATTTTTTGCCTCAGGAATCAGACTGTGAGTCTCAAATTAGTTTATGCCTTTCGGTTCACCATGGCTGCCAGCTTCTCGACTGTCTCTGATGCGCTGCATAGTTTTGTTTTGTGCGTGGGTTTTGTTACTTGTTATTGTTGTCGTTTCTCAGATTTTAATAAATTCTCAATTTTCTTTCTGCATGGATTGTTTTTTAAAAAGATGTTGAATGGGCATTTCTTTCCCATTTTGCAGTATAACTCTTCTCTGCTTTTTTGAACAGGTGGGTGTGAATGATAGAAAGCAGCTCATACCATCCTTTTTTTCTGCAAAATTGTAATCCCTTGTTTACTGGCAGCCCTGCCGTTGCTGTAGAGATGAACAGACAGAATGAGCTGTGAACTGCGAGGCACGTGCAAGGCGATTTGTGCCCATGTGTGCTTCCCCTTTGTTGCTTTCTTTGTGTCACTTTCTCCGTTTTCTCTTTTATTTCAGTTTTCCTTCTTGAGAAAATTATTGGACTTTATTTGCATCCTATGTTATAGGCGGGGCCTTTCCGGTTCTAATGTGTTCTGGTTCTTTCGTGTTTGTGTTCCTGAAATAGTAACTGGTATTCATGAAGCGATGTTCTTCTGGGACTCCTGGCTGGGATGATTTTGTTCGTCTTGACAATACCACTTTGTACTGAGCAAGGTAGGTAGTGAGAATGTGTGCGTGTGTTCCGTTTTTTACAGAGCGGGTATAAGAGGACATGTAATGTCCCGAAGTCACTTAGAAGCAGGAAGTCAGGGAGACAAGTAAAATGGCCTCATCTTGTGATGACTCAGAGTCTGGTGGTCCAGACTTAGGCAAGGCTGATCTGTAACTGTGTCTAAGGCAGCGAGTGCGTGGTTTAGGGTCTCCACACAGGAACCTTGCTGTCCCTGTGAGTGAAGATGTCGTTGAAGGTCAGCATTCACTGTGGGCTGGCTTTGAGGCAGCCATAGAATCTGGATACCAGGCAAATTCCTGATCACGTGAGTTTTTGGGGGGCCAGGCTCTCTCTCTCTTCTGTTGGAGCAACAGGCAGAGTGAACTCACAGCTTTTGGGTTAACTAGAATCTTCTTTTTGCCATGAAACAGCTGTGTTGCTTGTCAGATCGAGAAGTAGCATCTTATCATCATTATGCCGTGATTCTTCGCCCTCTGAAAGATTATGCTTAAGTGTTTGGTTTTCTTTGAACTGTTCTCCCCACACAAAGACTGCCAGTCCCGCCTTCAGAGAACACTGCTGAGGCCATCCTTCAAGAGCAATTGTCAGGCCTTTTAAAGGGCTTCCTGAAGCAGTCATTCCTCTGCCTGCGTTCGTAATCTCTCTATTGATGTCATCCTAGGTTCCTAATGTCTTCCAGCCCTTGAACCTGAGGCAGCCGGTCGGCACCACCTTGCCATTTTTCCATTACAAAGAAAAGGCTTTTCCCCGCCTTCCCACTTATTTCTCTACTGAAGTATCATTACTGAGTAGAACATACACTCCCTGGGTGAAAAAGAACAATGGAGTTCAGTGCACAAAGTTGCCTAACTTGGGATATTCCCAGTCTTGCCAGCTCTTTCTCCTTAGACCAGTACCCAGAGTGAGCAAATACTGCCAGCTTCTGTACTGCTGATGCAGGCATGTGGGCATGGAGCTGTGTAAGTCGTTCTGTTAAGGGTAGATTTCTTTTAGGGAAAACACCAACTCTGGAAAGTCCTCAGGCGAGGTACAATGTGTGAACAGCTCTGCCGGAGGGAATATTGCCAAGATGCAGCCGGAGCCCACCTCTGCACCATAGAGGCCTGTTTGCATAAAGTGGGTGAGAAATTGCCTTGTTTCTACATTTCACCTCTAATAAGTAATTGGAAGAGTGTCTCAGCCACCTTTTCTTTTTTCTTTTTTCTTTCTTTTTTGAGACAGAGTCTCACTCTGTTGCCCAAGCTGGAGTGCAGGGGTGCGATCTCGGCTCACTGCAACCTCTGCCTCCCAGGTTTAGGCAGTTCTCCTGCTTCAGCCTCCCGAGTAGCAGGGACTACTGGCACACACCGCTTCACCTGGCTAATTTTTTGCATTTTAGTAGAGACAGTGTTTCACCGTGTTGCCCAGGCTGGTCGCGAACTCCTGAGCTCAGGCAGTCCACCCGCCTCGGCCTCCCCAAGTGCTGGGATTACAGGCGTGCGCCCAACACTTTTCTTTAAGAGAAGTGTTAACTTGATTATGTTAAAAGGCCACAGATGTGAGGGGGATGTGCCCTTCAAAAATGGATTACTTTTTTTAAAAAAATTGAATACTAAGTGGGAGTTGAGGTACATTGCACAAATCTGCCCTGATTTAACCCCAGAGTGGAGCTCAGAGTAGAACATGTTATATTGCATGGTTAACTAACCATGCTATTTATAGAGGTGACTCCTCGGAAAGTCTAGACATTGTTCCCAGAAGACGGAATGCCAAATCTGCAGTCATTGAGCAAACCGAATCTGCTCCTACCTTCCCAACTAGCTTGCTAAGAATAATCACCTCCCTGTTTCTCACCATAAAATGGGAGTCTTGGAACTTCATTCTAAGAAAGTGTGGATGATAGTTGGGTTCCCCAGCCAAGACTTGGGGTAGGTAAGGAGGAGGGGGTGCTCCTGTGAGCCTGGTACTACCCTACCCACCCTTGGCCTGTGATCCTTGGAGCCCACCTTGCTGAGTTGTTGGAAACCGTGGTTGGCAGGTCCTAGTTTTTGAGTAGGTCTCCTCTAAGAGGACATCCTGAGGACCTCAGGATGGTGCTTCTCTTTGGGGATGAGCCAGCTGCAGTTTTGCCTTTTTCCGTAGATGTGCAGTCGTAGAACCTCCTGTTGGAAGCTGGCAGTTGGAAAGGGGTGGATGGACAAAGCCAAGAACTCACTCGATAAACACGTATCAACAGACAGGTCTGATGAATGCTAATGATGCTGTGGCCTCGAGGAAGCATGGACCTTTAGCCTGAATCTACACTGGGAGTTTCTAAAGTTGATTTCAAGGAAGACTAGTTTTGTGGAATGTTAATAATGTGGGAAAAGGAACTGTAGGTTAATTAGTTTAGGAAATAAATGGATTAAACAAACTTAAAAGAGATTCTTTACTGGAGGGCTTCTAAGAAAGCCTTTAATATTCTTATGATCCTGATTTAATGTCCTAGTATATCTGTGCATCTTGAAGACAGAGACAGGATAGGCAGTATCCCCCAACTGTTATGCCGAGGGACCCCTTTTACAGTGAGCGTTTCGTGGAGCCACTGTGGTTTCAAAAAAACCCACCTCCTCAAAACACACTTTGGGAAATGATTCTCTTCAGAAATATCTGGGAGTCCCTGATACAGCTGGAGAAGGAATTCACCTTTCATTCTGTCGGTGTGAGTGAGGACCTGACCTGCACACGTCAAGCCCTGGGCAAGGGCTTTGCTTTCCAGCAGTGAGGAAGCACAGGTCCTGCCCTCTCGGGACTCACAGTTTGGTGCTGGAGGCCCCCATGCTTTTCTGTTTATAGACCTCTTTTTGAGCAATTACCCAATTCATATATCTTTATTTATTTATTTATTTATTTATTTATGTGTTGTATGCATTTAGTACAATGTTAATATATTAGGTACACTACAAAACACATACACAAAGTAGAAAATGTGAAAGGATGAGAAAAAAAATTATGAAAAGTAAATTCTATCACTTTCCCCCTTCATCCCAAAGAATTAGCATGTGCCCTGGGATCCCTTCAGCTGCCTGGGCCCTACCCTGGAGACTCTGGCTCAGTGAACTGAGCCGCAGTCTTGGTATCTGGAAGGCTCACAGGTCCTCCCAGCTGACTCTGCTGCAGGTGCTGGAGCGCAGTGTGTTACGTGGTAACAGGTCCTCCCAGCTGATCCTGCTGCAGGTGCTGGAGCGCAGTGTGTTACGTGGTAACAGGTCCTCCCAGCTGACTCTGCTGCAGGTGCTGGAGCGCAGTGTGTTACGTGGTAACAGGTCCTCCCAGCTGATCCTGCTGCAGGTGCTGGAGCGCAGTGTGGTGTGTGGGGACTGTGTGGACAGGTATCAGCTGGACGGCTTGCACTGACTCCAGACCTTGCCATCATGTCACAAGTGAGAAGGTCAGAAGGAGGCTGGAGCGTGCCGGCGAGTGGTGAGAAAGCTCCCTGGTGACGCTTCCTGCCTGTCTGTTGCTCAGAAGGAGGCTGTGCTTCCTGGGAGCTGCATCCAGTCACAGGCGGGGACTTTGGGCAAGTCACTGGGCCTCCCTGGCCTAATTTTCTTCCCTGGAAAAGTAAGGGGTGATTTAGAATAACCTGCAGAATGTCTTAGGGCCCCTACATTTGATTTCACTGGGGTTTTTTTTTTTTTTTTGAGACGGAGTCTCACTCTGTCACCCAGGCTGTAGTGCAGTGATGCAGTCTCGGATCATTGCATACTCTACCTCCCGGGTTCAGGCGATTCTCCTGCCTCAGCCTCCCGAGTAGATGAGATTACAGGTGCACGCCACCACGCCCGGCTAATTTTTGTATTTTTAGTAGAGATGAGGTTTCACCATGTTGGCCAGGCTGGTCTTGAACTTCTCACCTCAAGCGATCCACCTACCTCAGCCTCCCAAAGTGCTGGGATTACAGGCATGAGCCTCTGCACCTGGCCTTTAATCAGGTTTTTTATTTGAACAGGTTTGGGAGTGATTCAGTTTCCTTCAGCAATTTAAAATACATGTATATTTTCTTTTGCATGTAAGAGCTAGTTAGATCATGAGGCTTGGATTTTCTTGGACTCAGCGGGTACCCAGGCAGTAGTAGGTGTTTAAATTTTAGGCCCCCAAGCAAAAGTTTCGAAGGGGGCCTCTTTTACCCTTGTTAATTGCAAAATAAACAGATCTCAAGGGCAGGGGCCCCTTTTCATGATAACTGCCTCTGTTTTGTGCACCATCAGTGAAAAGCATCATTTCAAATACTCCATCAGGAGTGGGCTCCATCACTGAAGGCCTCCTTCCTTCAGCCCGGCAATTTACCACTCAGACCCCCTCCTTTGACCCCTCAGAGTCAGTGCCTAACCTGCCCCCCAACCCGTCACATGTCTTTAGCTTCCAGATATCTCCATATGCAAGCTAATAAGTTGCACATACATATGTTTGAACAGTTGTCAGGCTTGTCTGCTGCTCAAACTATGCTTTAGTTTAAAACAACAACAGAGAACTCAGGGGGGGATGGATGAAGACATTTCAGATGTGCCTGCAGGTGGTGGTGTTCTGACCTTGACAGTCAGTTTTAAATGAGTTGTCAAGTACCAGTGTGTGCTTCTGGGCACCCCCACCTGGAAGATATTATGTCCCCTAGGCTTTATGTACCCCAGCAGGCAGGCATGAGGTCCTTGGATTTTGTTTTCATTGATGGAAGGTTAATGCATGCATGGCAGAACTTTACTGAGAGGGCCCCAGCTACAAACCCTGTTTTCATTTAATTCTGATTTCTCTTCTCCCTTGGCCTTTCCCTCCCTGCCCCCAGACCTCTTCCCTCTGGACTCTCTCCACTCCCCATCAGCCCTCCCTTCTCTACCACAGCTGCCCCCCACCACCACTTCTTTGGCTTCAAACCATTTCTCCTGGCTTTGATATCTCCTTGCAGAGCTGTAAGCAATCAGGAGATTATGGGTCCCAGAGCTCAGCAGGGTGCACTGCCTGATAGGGCGTTCGGCCCCAGTCTCCAGGCCACTGCACGAAATTGCACCCAGAAAGCCTGCCCAGGCCCCTGTGCCTGTCCCGGTAACCACTTGGGTGCAGCCCTCAGAGGCGGCATCTCCTCAGCTTACGTGTTGTCTGGGGAGAACTTAGGATTATTCTAACCTTTCCAGTGGTCCAGGTTCATCTGTCTGAATTTTACCTGTTTAAACTTGGAGCGTCTCCCATGCCCTCAAAGGCCGCATATGCTTGTGCTGGAAGTTAGGGTGAGGAGAATAAATGGACAGATGAAAGGAACCTGTTGGATTCATCCTCCTGCCTACCAACACTTGGATAGTTTCAAGTTATTTGAGGGTACAGCTGATGGTCCTTTATCCAGGGAACACGTCTTCTTCAGCTTCCTTGTCCAAGGCTCCCGCATGTTCAAGGAGACCTGCACTATGTTTCCAAAGGCAGAGGTGAGGGAAAGGGGGCTCGTTCTCAGGACCACGTGCACATCTTCTCGCTCTGTAATACTTCCTTAAACTTGGGAAGAAGTGGGCCCAGAACTAGATCTTACTTCTCTGATGGATAGTACCACCAACAATGTGCTCCACTGTTCGGTGGGCTCCCGGGGACGTATGAAGGAGAGGGTCCCTGCCTGGCCCCTTAGATATCTTGCTGAGATCTCACTTAGAGTCTAAGAGGAAGACCAGTGCTTGCCAACCTGTCCTTCCCAGAATCTGGAAGTCTTCCCAAGGCCATAGAAGTGCATCACACTCTCGCTCCAAGGGACTCAGACCACTTTCTCTTTATACCCCGTGCCTGAGGGGCACCTCTGTAAGGGAATCTTATTACTTACCTTTGGCACAAGTCCTCTCCTGGGATTTCCCAGGCAGAATGCTGAGTAGAGGAGGCTGAGAAATGTGTGGGATGAGAGTGACTGGACCATGCTTCCTGCCACTGGGAGGAGCCTGCTGTCAGAGAATGTAGGAGAAGCAGAATAAGGGAGAGAAATGGCATTCACTGTGTGCCCCTGCCCTTCCTATGGATCTCTCAGCCTTCAAATAAGGACTTTATTTGGTCAAAGCTGGTTGAGTTGAGTTTCTGTTGTTTACACCCACAGCCCTGAATAATTTACAAAGGGACACTTCCCTTTTGCTTTTTTATAAGCAAAAGCATCAGTTAGACCTTAGGATTGGGAAGGGGAGTCAGTGGTGTGGACCTAAAAGGAAGAAGCTGAAGCACCAAGTATAATTTAAAGCGTTTTATTGAGCCAAAGTGAGGATGGCTGCCTGGACAGCTCAGACCCAAGGAACCTTGGATATGAGCTCCCTTCTGCCTTTGTTACAAGCAGGTTTTTAGAGGCAAAAAAGGGGACAAGGAGTGTGCTGTACAAAGTGGTTTGTGAGGAGTTCTCGTGGGTTTTAGAAATCACATTGATTAGTGATTGGCTGTATGTTGTTAAGCTATAGGGGTGGGTTGTGGAGTCTGCTGTGGCGTCGTTAGGTGGATTTATAGCTATTATAACTCACCTTCTTCAGATTAAAGATCTTGGTTGCTTTGAGTAAACCAGACAGTGTCTGGACTGATGAAGGTCCACCTCTGGCCTTCAGATTCTTTAATGATGATGCCACCTGACTTTACGGCATTCGGGATGTCCTCAGATAATGTCCCCTCTCACAAACAAGCTCCAGGTCCTTCCACAGCCCTGCTCTCACAGGCTCCCTGCAACTTCCTTCCAGACTAGCCCTTTCCTCCCCCTCACCAGCCTGTGCTAAGACCTGGAATCCTTGCTCCTCAGAGAGGCCTCTCTGCTCTGCCCCTCCCATGGTTTTCCACCCACCAGGAAGGGCAAGCTGTGCTTTCTGCTTCCCTGAGGAGTTTCTCCTGCAGGGTGATGAGTCCCAGCAGGTGCTGACAGTGGATCAGGGCCCGGGCTTCTATGGCTCTTGGCCTCTGAAGCACAGGGCAGGTGGATCCTAATGGTGAGTTGTTTGCTTGAGCTGAGCTGCAGAAATGGGCTGGAGCATGAGCACGGGCAAGCCCCAGACAACCGAGAACATTTAATGTTCTGCTCCCCACGGGATGGAATGTGAGATTGATGCTCAAGGACCTCTACCCTGGCTGTGTCCAAGCTCTTGACCGCCACAAGAAGGAATTCAAGGACAAGTTGGAAGATAAAGTACACACTCAAGAAAAGGGAGTTTGGTGTACTAAAGAGAGAGTAGTCCTGTGCAAGGGAGGTTGGGGTTTCTGTAACCAAGGGGTGGAATATCCAGCTGAGCAGTGGGGTCATTGAAATTATGTAGCAAGGTAGTCTATTGGTAAATCTTTCAAACTCGCAGTTTAATCCTGAATTGTTAGCATAAGAACAACAGGTGTGGTTTATTACCACACAAACCCCTCCAGTTGGTTCCTGCTCTGGCCCTGTTGGGGACTTATATGATGGCTTAATAATGAGCGCAAATCCTGCAAAATATTGCTGTACTCAGGAAAGTTCTGAGTTGCTTCTTCATTTGTGGCGGTCCCACCTTTTAGACGGCCTCCTTTCGCTCTGTGGAGAAGGTCTGGTTTCCTGGGCTTAGGATGTACCCCGGGTATGTAATTTTTGGTTTTAGAAATCTAGGCCTTGGATGGAGAGACCTGATACCCAAAGAGGGAGGTTAGGACTTGAACGGCATTCTTCTCTAAGTCCTCTTTAGTGGGACTGCATACAAGGATGTCATCCACATATTGGAGAACGACTCCCCATTTCCAGCTCTGGCTCCCTTTATTCTTGTGCCAAGGCATTTCTGAACAAGTGAGGGCCATCCCTGAAGCCCTGAGGCAGTACTGTCCAGGTGTGCTGCTGGGTAATACTAGTTCCAGGATTAGTCCTCTCCAGAGCAAACAAATACTGAGAGTCAGAACGCAAAGGGATACAAAGGAAGCGTCCTTCAGATACAAGACTGTGAACCGGTTGGTCTCCTGGTATTCGGGTGAATATGGCACAAGGATTTGGCACTGTTGGACATAAGGGAATTACAGCCTCATTAATGGCTCTCAAATCTTGAACTAGACGATATTCTCTGTTTGGTTTTTGGATAGGGAGGACCAGGAGTATTACAAGGAGACTGACATGGAATCAGGAAGCCATGTTTTAAAAACTTGTCAATTAGAGGTCGGAGTCCTTGCCTGACTTTTGGTTTGAGAGGATATTGATGCTTGTGTGGGAAATTATTTTTGCCTTTTAAAGAGGTGATCACTGGCTGAGCATAAATTGCTTTGCCAGGGATTTCTTGGTCCCGTATTTGTGGGTCTGAGACCTTATTTTGGGAGGGATCTCCTGTCATTCTGAGGCTGGCCTAAGAAACAATACTGCCAAACAGGAGGCCCCCCGGGGCCTGGTAAATGTGAAGTGGCCTCAGGGGTGGCTGGGAAGTCCCGTCCCAGTGAAAGAGTAGAATACTCTGGCATAACTAGAAATTCATGAGTCACCATGTAGTTTCCTAGCCCGCAGTTCAGAGGCACTGTAAAATGTTTTGATTTTTGGGGTGCCATTGACACCCGTGACAGTGCGGCTTTCGGAAGATAAGGGCCCAGAGTGGCCATTCGGGACAGAGTAACTGGCCCCCGTGTCAGTTAAGACGTTGATGTTCTTAGTTGCCATGTCAAGAGTCACCTGAGGCTCCTCAGTTATGGTGACCAGGCCTTTTATGGGAGCTGCTGAGAACCTCGGTCCCCTTCAGTTATGGCCATTATGGATTGGGTATCCTCCTCCTCCTTTGGAGCTGAGGGCAATCCCTTTTCCAGTGACCCCCCTGCTTGCAGTGAGGACAGCGTCTGGGTGGGCTCCCCTGGCTGCAGCAGGTCTTCTTCCAGTGTCCTGGCTTCCCGCACTTGAAGCAGCCGCCGTTGCCTGCAGGGTTTGCTGCTGGGCCTTTTTGGTCCATGGGTGAAGCACCTCTCTGGGTGGCCCTGAGGTTGCAGGGTGCTGCTTATAGTAACTGCTATCATTTGGGCCTGCTCTCTAGCCCATTGTTTGCCGCACTGGGTCCTTTCAGCCTTCTCAGCCCTGTCCCTATGACTGAATCCCTGGAGAGCCACACCAAGCTTTGGTTTAATAGGTATTTGGAGTCTCAAAGCCAATTTCTGTAATTTTCTCCTGAGGTTGGGTGCTGACTGGCGTGTCAAGTGTGTCCCTAGTTAAATTTGGCATCAGTACTGAGGTCAGTGTTAGTATATTAAGGCCTCCACAAGGTGACCCTGGAACAAAGCTTGGTTTTCATCCTTTCCTTGAGTTACTTCCCCTATTTTATCATAGTTCACAGGCTTAGAATACATTTTTTATTCCTTCCACTAACCAAGTTGCCATACAATTTCTTTTTCTTGGGTTAGCCTGGCCTTGTTGATAGTTCCAGTTGGGGTCATTGCTAGGCACAGGCATGGCTCCCACAGTGTACAGTTCAGGGTCCCCAGCTAATGAGTTGTCAGCGTAAGCCTTGGCCTCCACTCAGATACACTGCTTTTCCTCCAGGGTGCAACATGTAGACAAGGTAATATGAATAACTCCCCAAGCTAACTCAAGTGAGAGTGAGAGAGCCTGAAACTCCTCCATGAATTTAGTTGGGTCCTCTAAAAATTGGCCAACCTTTGGCTACATCATGCTAGATCAAAGACTGAAAAAGGTACCTGCACCTGGATGGTCTCGGCATCCCCACTGGCCACCTCCCTAAGTGGGCATAACTTAGAATGGTTGGGAAGATAGGAAATGCCACTGTAGGTGACCCTGGCAGGGCTCTGTTCCTTCAGTAGGGAGGGCATCTAGGTTGGTAAGGAGATGGGCTAACGAGAGACTGAGGGCTGCAGATGGTGGAGCTAGGAGAAGACTGGGGAGTTGGAGGTGGAATTGGGTGGGAGGGAGGAGTGGGGAGTGCTAGACCTGGGTCTGGGTTAGGAGGTGGGGGAAGGCTATGAGAGGTGTATTCCCAAAAAGCGTATCATCTAGGATATCTGGTTCCCATTTCGTTCTCCTAAAGGGATGTGAGTCTAACAAAGGCAGCAATTCCTGCAACGGTCAAGGTTCTAACAGGGCCACGAAGGCCTGTGCACAGGGTATTTCAGTTCAATTCTCCTGACATTTATAAAAAAGATCTAATTGCAAGATGGTATTAAAATTCAGGGTCATGTTCTCTCACCATTGTACCCTATTCTTTTTTTTAAAAAAAAAAAAAAAAAAAAAAAAGGGTCTCACTTTTTTACCCAAGGCTGAAGTGCAGTGGCACAATCACGGCTCCCTGCAGCCTCATCCTCCCAGGCTAAGGTGATCCTCCTACCCCAGCCGCCTGAGTAAGCTGGGACTATAGGTGTGCACCACCATGCCTGGCTAATTTTTTGTGTGTTTTTTGTAGAGATGGGGTTTCGCCATGTTGTCCAGGCTGGTCTCGAACTCCTGGACTCAAGCAATCTGTGCGCCTTGGCCTCCCACAGTGCTAGGATTACAGGTGTGAACCACCACACCTGGCCCTTGTACCTTGCTTTCTAGAAGAGAGTTACCCAAGGCCTTGACTTGTCTTTGGCATGAAATGAAAGGAAGAAGAAGAGGAAAGTTAACATATTCCCTCATGGAGGGACTGGTCCCAGTATTTATGAAATGCTGCATACACGAGTGTGGTGCTTACAGTTGGCCAGATCCATGGCCATGCCAGAAGAGACAAGCATCCTTGTTCCCTTGGCTGGCTGCCGTGGTGTCCAAGCATCCTTGCCCAGGCGTCCTTGGCCCCTGGGGCTTTGAAAATGAGAAGGCTTTTGAGGTCTAGTGGGACGAGTTATGGCATAATTTGAAAGCAGCAAGCATACCAATATCCATCTGAATATTATCAAGTAAAACTTGGGAATAGAGGTGATTTAGCACGGCCAATAAACAAGGACCTCGAAGGGAGCCCTTAAGAACTTGAGGCCTAGATCTGGCATTCTGGAGGGCGGTATCTGAGATGCCT